TTTTCAGTTAGGCCGCTTAGGCTCAAATGAATTTGTAACACATTCAGTCATAAAATCCCGAAGGAATGTTTGCGAATTGAATTTGACATTAAAAAATAACTTACTGCTATTTATCACACGAGAAATCTTTTCTAAGTTGATAACCCAATGTCTTAGGAAGAAGTTTAGTTTAGTCTAAATTAGGTAATTAGCCTACGAAGTAGGTTTGTGTCATGGGAATTAAAAAAAAATATGTCTAATATACAAGGTCGTCGATTGAAGTGGAAACTATTATATAGATTTCCTTCTCCTCAAATCATAATTATTCTCTTTTCGAGACAGTTATTTAATGTCCCTTACTAACGTTGGACATTGTTTTGTGGTTGTAACTCCTGTAGATCCTAGTGTTCTAGGGGTATTAAGAGAATGTGCTAGCCTTAATAAAAAAAATACAATCTCGTCTGATGTTCGTCATGCTTTGGGAAGATAAGTTAAATGACAGCACTTGTTATCTTAAGTCAGGATCGGACATCGACGTGGGAAGACTGCGCACGCGCATACTTATTTCGTTTTATAAAGAGTTATAGTCTCTTTCTTTCAATAATTTCTTTCTGTCAATATTTCGGTCGTCACAGAATATACAAATAATACAAAATCTTTATTTCTTTAACAAAATGTTATTCGTATAACTAGTTGCTGGTGTCTCATTTTGAGCATGTGAATAGGCCTGTGTCAGGAGGCTCCGCTCTTCCTTAACGTAGGTATTAACAGCATAGCAAGATATGTAATGTACATTTAATAAGTTTGTATCTTTCTTAAATTTCCTACTGCTTTGCACAGCAAAATCGAAATGATGTTTCGGCGGCGATATTCCTTAACCGATACGACTTTTAAACGAGCTACTACAAGAAACGAGCGTTCTCTTTCTTAGAATTCCGGCAACGCGCCTGTGGCTCCTCTGGTGGTGTGATCACTTACCATCATGTAATCAGCCTCCTCGTTTGTCTCCTATTCCATAAAAAAATATCTTAATAATATAATAACGTTTCGTGTCGTAATTGTTTCTTACGATTATGTTCATATCATTTTAAATAGGTCTAGTATTTTGTTATGGCTCAAGGGCTATTAAAACGCTAATGTCTCCAAGAAGAACTTTAGTGCCTTTGACATTTTAAAACTTTTTGATAAGGGTATTTTACCACACAACACCTCATTGGTTTTCTTTTGTAACCACTGTATTTATTTATTAAAATAAGCCAAGAATGGCAATATCTTCCTCTGAACCGAATTTTATCCGGCGCCTAGTGATAGATATGTTCATTTACATCAAAGCTTTACAGGTCACCTAAGACTTACCCACGAAGCTAAAACAGAACTAGACTTTCATAGCTATTTATATACACAAAGAGATTGATTCACAGACGGCATAAAAATTCACTTCGCAAATGAAATTGCAATAACTCGACAAAGGTAATGACATACTGTTGGCACGGTATCCAGCCTTGACACACCAAGTATGCAAAATAAGCACATCCAGACACTCTGATGTTTCGCACGATAACTCCTCAGATACCATCGACCAACTAAATAAGTATTCCCACAGCCGCATACGGCATCTAATTTAAATTGCCCTACGTTAACTGCATTCATATCCTTTGTGCGTTTCAGTTTTATTGTTAAAATAGGCAATGTGGGTAATGTAGGTACTACTATCTTAAATTGATACTGATTTGCTTTTACGACGGTGTAGGTTATTAGATTTTGAGGTTCTCCTGGTCCTGTTTGAAGTTTAAGGATTCTGACTTGGAGAATATTCTCTGTGAATGACCAATCGCTCTGGTATGTTATCTAATAGACACCAGTATTCGAATAATATTATTATTGTAATAATTAAGTAGTTTCCTAGGTCAAAAAAAATAATTCGATGTTTCAATACAATTAAATATTGAAAAATAACTGTAATTTTTTTCATCGATTTGTCAATGAACTAAGTGTTCGATATCTTTTAGCTAATTTTTAGGAAACAAGTAAGCTATTTGTCGTGTAAATAGGATAACGTCATAATTTGCTGTTTTATACAATTTTCATGGAAAAGTATCGTTTTTGACATTTGGATAAAAGTATTGAATTTGACTTGTTGGATACTATCGTATTGTATCATGCTCAATACGTTGCCGAGCTAAATGGTATTAATTTGTAATTCTTTGTTTTTGGCATCGTATGTACACTATCTTTTACATTTTGTAAACAATGTTTAATTTGGTATTAAACTACGATAGCTACACGTCTACCTCATTGTCTAAACTGCACATGGCTCCACGAAAGTGGGTCATTTAAAGCAGTATTTGGTAACAATGCTACAATAACAGTTTTCAAAGCGAACTGCAACTAAATCGTCAGTCGTGAAGCCGTCAGTGCGTCAGCCGTCGTCGGGGGCTATCTAAACTGCATCGGATCCAAGCGCCCGCGCACGGAGCATATGCACTGCCTTCCCCAACGTAATTGTCTGTAATGCCCATATTGAGACAACCGTCAACTCTTAAATTATGCACATTCACAATATTATGAAGATCTTAAATTATTTTATTGCGTCTCGCATTATGATACGCGGTGGGTCTGACATCTGAATCATAACCGTGACTCGTTCCATATTGTAGCAATTTTCGTAGAATTTTTCAAGCAAGCTCCTTTGGCGGCGTTTCCGGATTTTTTGTCGTAGAATTCCATAATGTTGTTCTATATTTAGACAAGAATGTTCTCGTCTGACATATTTATTACCTTGTTGATATTTAGAAGTGTTTTTTCAAGGGCTCATTGATTATAATATCTGTTACGTTGTCTTTATTTTGTCCGCAAAGCGTGCAAATAATGCTTCGAATTTAATACATAGCTTACAAGATTAGAATTTTCCAGAGAACGAACGCCTCAGATTGCAATAAGAAATACGAAGGAGGTACATTACAATCAGGAGCGCTAAGCCGACTCCACACCACATATATTCAGCACAATATCTACGTAATTACGTCAGCATAAATTGTCATCGGTGAATGAGATTGTGGGTGCGATTTCATCGGGTACATAAGTGGTCGCGCGCAACATTGTCGCGTGGGATTGCCCCGGCTACGCTCGCCGCAGACGATGCCGCGCTCGGGTTACTGTGGTCACTTTCTTGTATGGTGGTACACATTAAGTGTGCTATGTGTACTCTCTCTCCAATGGAGAGATAGGCTTTACTTATGTTAGGTAATAAACACGCAAAGTCAGATTTAAGTATGTCCATGATTTAGATTGCAGACAGGATTGCGAAAACTACCGAGAATGTTAAGAACCTTTTAAAAAAAAAAGTACCTACGTTATTTTGCAATTCAAAAATACTGATATTCAAAAAAGGAGGTCAAAAGCAAAAAAGGGTGCAGTGAATAATATTATTCTCATGGGCCTGAATTGATTCTCGTGCATGGTCGAATGCAAATCAACGTCAAGTTTTACCGTAAAAGAAATATAAACAACATGTTAACGTAGCTTCGTGACCACGCTGTCGTTTCACACTCAAAATGGCCACATGCATGCAACACTGTTGCAGGGACCTCGTAAAGAAAATTAATCCATCACTCGATGTGATTGGCATTTTTTCCTGCGTGCAAAAAGCCGTCTAGCCATGTAGTATGTGGCATTGAGTCCCCTATACTTGGTATTGTTTGGCTCCAAGCCGTTGCCCCGCGGATCACCATACACCGCCGGCGCGTGTGTATGCCACAGGAAATCTGGACTTCCGCTCGTCTAGGATATTCACCTGGCTAGACAATGAATCGCTAATAACACATTGTCTGTGCGTCTGTCTGTCGTTAAATGTAATGTATGCGTAGTTGCCCGTCATTTATGGTCTAGTGGTTCAGTGTGCTCTTTTTTCTTGGGGTCGACTAGAATGGATGAGGTCGAGGATACACGCGTAGAAACAGAATAATATCGTTAGGGCAATGCTCGTGGCTGATGCGTCACTTGCATCCCCGTAACATGAAGATCACGAACGAAGTGTTCACACAATTTGTGCCGCGCATCCGAACGTAGGCGAACAAAGCGTCGAACTTGTGAGCCACATTAAAACGACAAACACGTAATGGGTTTACTTATAAAAAGGAAAACATTAGCCGCCTTGTGGCATGCCGCTATCTCGCTTTTAATTTTATATGACGTCTTAAGATAACTTAAATGGAAAATATACTCAAACATTTCTTAATTTTGAATGCATTTTAAACTTTAATTCTATGGCACGTATAACTCCCTTACATTATGGTGTAGATAAAGTCCCGTGTTTTTCTCATGGTGCAGTAAGTCTTGGAACAGGTTCATTTACATATGTATACCTAGTGCATAGCGCTGTTAGCGGGCTCAGACAGAATTGATCCGGCTTACAGCAAGTCGTTAGTTGGAAAACGGATGTAGAACTGTTGGGATTACCTTAACTAACATTTCTGGTGCTAATTGTACTAAATTAATAAACTACAGAATAAACGAGAAAGGACGAATATGTGTAAAATTTAATTAGTGTGTAAACTTTGGTTTTGTGCCATTCGGGCAGAAAAATAAACTTATAAAAAACTATATGTAGTGTTTTATCAAACTCCGTCTCCTTAGCAGTTTGTGACCTTACGTTTTTAATGTTGGAGAGCCATGCTTCGGCACGAATTGGTCGGCTCGACCAGAGTTACACCACGGCCTCACAGAAAACCGGCGTGAAACAACCACAGCGTTGTGTTCCGCCGCGTGAAAGAGGTTAACCGAGGCCCAATCCTTCCCCTCCCCCAATCCCTAAATCTCCAAATCTATAATAGGTCGGCAACCTACTCGTAACTCCTCCATTGCGGGTGTCAATGGGCGGCGCTGATTGCTTACCATCAGGTAATCTGCTCGTTTGCCGACCTATCACATAAAAAAACTTACAAACCTTCTCTCCGATGAATATTTTGTTGCAGCTTTGTCAAAAAATAATCTGTAGGTACTTACATTTATTTTTGTTACAGGTACCACTTGTATCAAACGAAGGTACAACCGGCTTAGGAGCAGGGAGAGCCCCATTCGCCCCAGTCGCAAAGAACTCCCTAGGTCCAGCAACCATGCGTCTGGCGACCAGAACCAAAATGCTAAAACCACCAGCTAAAGCTTTCCAAGCACCAATAGACGATGAAGATTCAGAGTGATATTAACATTTAAGAATTATTTAATAAGGTTCAATCTTTAATGAAATCTTACACTTCTGTAAGTAGTGCTGTTATTTATTTTAAAGATATGTTAGATATTGATGAGTATATTTATATGAGTCGTGTTATGTTCTTACAATGTTGAAGATTACAGAAGTTATTGTAATTGTAAATACTTATTTGCCTAAACTTCGACCAATATTATTTTAATTACGTTCACAACTTTTTAACTTAGTCTATATTTTTCTTTACCCGTCTTATTCTATTGGAGATCACCACAGAGAAATTCTACCTCTCCTGTTGGTTTTCTTCTAACTATATCAAAATTGATTGTATTTCTCTTTCTACGAAATTGTTTCACAGTCTATTATTTACTCTTAATATATATCTATGTATTATTGAAAATATAAAACTACAAACTGATATTTTGTTTTTCTGTCCTTCTCGGAAATCCCATTTCTGAATATTTTAGAAAGGTTTCGATGGTAATTGTTATGCCGGTAATGTAACAGGATTTAGAGGTCCATCGGCACTCATCAGTCAATCACACCCTGACGGGAGTCAAGAAACTTGCCAAGGAATTCGTCAGAATTGCTGGCGACGAAACAGGTACCTTTCTAATCCTGTGCACCAGTGCATCATCACCAATTATCAAGAAATCTACAATTTCTAACGCAATATATGAAAATGTATTCTGTTCCCGTTCACAGGATACCTTTACATTATGACCAAAGAATTTTAATTTGTAAATAAAAACACTAAGAATTAATTATATAGCTGCCTAACGAAACAGAGCATGGTCGGTGGGAAATTATAATTGGTTCTAAAGCCTGACTGTCGTAGTCACTTGTTTTACGATTACAACTACTATTTAAACCGTCATACCTAACTTGTAAAGGAAGGCAGCAATTATATAAATACATACAATATCTAAGGCGCTATTTAAGTTATTGGTCGAGCAAGTGGCAGGTCGCTGTAAGCGGCTAGCGTATCATTTGTATATCACATTAGACATGTAGACGTAGAAATAAGCGAAGTCGATTGAGGAAACTCCACATTAAAGCTGGCTGGTAATAGCTGCGAAAGGTAACAATTAATCTAAGTTCCCGAGGAATCGGACCAAATGACAGACACTACGTTTGCAGTGCGTTTCCTAGAACGGCAAATGGCGAGGTGCGGCGCGCGGGCCCGCGTCCTGTCAACTCGCCGCCCAGCAATTTTGTCGACGATAAAAACTCTGTGAGCGACATCGCTCAAAGGCGTAAGGTTCCGTACGTGACATCGATTTTTGGGATATATTGGATTTGATTCTATTTTCATAGCATCAGACAAGAAGTCCATTGCTGACCTTCTGCAGTGACCAGTACCTACACATACGTCCAAATGCAACACAAACCTCACATACACTTCCACTTCCATATATCTAGTAACTAGCTTCCATCCGCGGCTTCGCCAGATTATAAACGTAATTTATGTAATGTGTGTATGTAAAATACTGGTATCTATAATTTATATCTGTAGGATATAAATTAGGCTCTCAGGATCATAGTTGTTGCTATCACTGATTGATATAGATAAAGGAATTTTCATAATCCGACCACCGGTTCTAAAGTTAACTTTCTACATACAAACTTACAAATACCTCTTTATAATATTAGTATAGTATAGATAAGTAGGTAAACGCCATTCCGAGTCTTTTAAATTGACCATCTTGCCAGTGATTTTGTTTCTTACTTTTCCTAGGTGGGTACCTAATGTACCCAATGTGCAATTATCAGTAATTTACCTAATCTCTAAATACTAAAATACAGTTTCTAATCAAGACATCCAATTCACAAAATAATGAATGCATCTATGAAGATCTAGCTACAATGCGTGAACATTTTATCACATTGAAGGCATCGTGGCAACGTTAATAAGCCTTGTTGGCTAAAATTAATTAAAATTCTTTTTTGTGAACCTATTTACAGATTTTGTTTTATTTTTATTTCTTTATTGTGAATGTGAATACCATTCCGCATTTAAATGACTTGCTTTCGTATCGGCACTAACGGTTCCTACCTAAAAGAAGTGGAAAATATCTAAGTAGGTGAATAAGCTTGGAAAAACTCGAACAAGGACATAATAATAATATAATCTCACAGTCTTACTGCTTTCAATTATTCGACTATCTATTATTAAAACATCTCTATAAACCAACAAAAAAGAACAACTTTACCTGACTTTACCTTAAGATGTTTACATAAAAACTACAACTTTCGCTGCACGTATACAATATTTTTATGTTAATAGAAGCTCTTGCTGAATTATCTGCCTTCCTAATATTTTACGGATCACCTGATGGTAAGCTATCAGTGCTGTCCGGAGCGCCAAGTATTTCTTTCATATCGGTTTTCTGTAAGGCCGTGGTTTCAACCCGATCGAGACGGCCGAAACACATGAAGACCCTCTCATGGGTACAGAAAAAAGCCTTTGGCGCAATTTATCCTACATTTGCATACTTTTTTGTGGAGGGTAAATCATCAAATAACTTCTCTTGCCCAGGGTATTGCCAGAGAGAATAATGCCAGACTCTTACTGGCTAAAAACCCACCCGTTCCTTCTCCTGCTCCAGGCCGAGGCCGCAGGCAGACATCTACATAAGGTTTTTATTGAAAAAAATCTATTTCTTGATTCTACATTTGCATCTAACTCGCTCTATGTATCTTCTTCACTTTTTTTCTCTTTCACAAACTACCCATTTGTTTTTTGACCATTCCTTGCCAGCCATTCACATTGTACTTCAGCGCTCGCTTTGCAAACAAATACATTATTCGTTATGAACCCTAAACAGTAGCATGTTTCCATGTTTCAATGGACAGTAATCATCGGCATTTGTCGTAATACATTCTAGAAAATAATTATATCGCCGACTCTGTAAACGAAGGAAATACACCTGATTGCATCACTTTGAAGCATAATATCCACAAAGACACATTATATTCCATCTTCTGTCACGAAGAGGCTGATTTTATGGAGATACGTTTACATAGGTTGAGTCGAATACATACACCTATGTAAGTACTTACCTTAGTACATTTTGTCTTTTAGTTTATCCATTTTTGTTATTTACAATAGGCACTTATTAACTTAGGTAGTTTCACTTCATTGATATTTATGTTTGGCTTTTACACTATCTAAATTACCTATGTAAAATATTCGTAGGTAAGTAGTTGCATTGTACCTAGCGATAGTCAGACAGACTTTGGGCTTATACCATATGAGGACCTTTTTAAGGAAGGATAATTTTGTATTGTGTTTTCTCGGCCTGTGAGGGACGAGTAGGTGTCACTCTTACTGACTAAAAAACACTCCGTTCCTTCTCATCTCCAGGCCTGTGGTATACTGTGTGAAATTAGGATCTTTTAATTCCTAGGGATGTGCAGCAATCGTCGGTGAGAGATGACATCGTAATGGCTTCGGAAGAGGTCTGTAAGTGGACGTGTGCTTAGTTAGATGGTGTAGCGACATCTAGCTTACTACTTACATAAACAATAGCAGCAATCACGAGCAAGATTCACATCGCGCTATAAGAGTTTTCAACACAATTAGCACCCATAATGATACCCCGACAAAAACCGTCGGGCAGTAGCCCACCAGGCACGAACACCTCGCCTGGTCGGAGGATCCTCCCTTTTCAATGGAGGATGAGGAACTTTTCACCCTGTTCCTCATACCTCTAAAATGGTAACCACTGGAGCGGTCTTAGTGTGGTAATAATCCCACATTCTCTAGGCTTTCTCTTCAAAAAAGCCGGGCGATTTTTAAAGGTTTCCCTTGTCATAAGAACGAGCCTGTTCCACGAGTGCTGTTAACTTCAACATGACATATTTTGATACATTCCGCTTGGAAAGTGTGAAAATGTGTTAAATTTTCCGTCAGTGAGACAAGAAATGATAGAATAAAATGGGTATCAGAAAAACTGGTCCTTCTAAAATCTTTAACTCGAACACAAGAGGAGAGGGAAAGAAATTTAAATTCAATTGAATGTATTCCACACAAGAGGAACAGTACAAGTTACAGATAAAACTAATTAAACGTTATCTTAACTTTAAAATCATTAAATTAAACAATTTAATGAAGTCATTCATTGCTTTATAAGTTAACCTAAGTAAATATTATCTCACTACTAAGGTTTTACGACCAAATTAATTTTTATATTTCCCAGCTCATAAAATTTACACGGTTTTTTGATAACATTTGCTACAATTCTAACAAAAAGCAAACATATCTTTGAAGGGACGTAAATATGAATTTCCTTTCCAAGCGACCAACGATTTCTTTTCTTCGAATTCGCAAGGAAGTGGCCTCTATATTTATCATAGAGTTCTGGAAAGTAGTTTTATTTAGTCGACAATTCTTTGATACTTAATAGGTAAGACTTGATTAGCGTGACGGGGGAAATCAGTGAGCGGGATGTCGGCTCTAGCTTGCGTGCGACGTACAGGCAAAGTCGCGCGTCGCGGCTATATCAACATGCACTTTCATACAACTGTGATTATGGCTGGGCGGCTTTTACACGCAAATATAGGTAGGTACTTCTAGTACATTAACTGCAGTATAATCGATTAATTGCCGCACAATTAATTTAATATTCAAATTAATTGAAATAACTGTATTGATGTTTTCGTTTCAAGCAGCCATCACTGCTTAGCATAATTAAATTCTATATTTGATGCATAGTCGCTACCGTGCGCGAATTATATTAAATAAGCCGATGTTAGAGGTGGTTTTAATAGTTTATTAATGAATGAAGATAAGAACCTATGTATACCTGGGGAGTTGTGTCGCGTGCAATGATAAAAAAGAAGAAAGAAGGCAAGGAAGGAAGAAGAACCGAAAAGCATTTGAAGAAGACCTAATCTATTTTTCTTTTTGAATAATCTTTTTCAATACTACGCATTAATTAAACAGAGTTATGGGTACCCACCTAACAACTGGCACTATAAAAAGCCAAGGTTTATTAGAATCTTCTAAGGCGTAATCCCATCATGAAAGAATTAGGTCCTACCTACAAACACTAACTAAATATCTACCTATAAGACAGTGGGTCATCTACCTGCAAATGGAATCTGGATGGAGCTGAATATCACCCCCGTGTCGTTAGCTCGTAACCAATATATTTTATATCACTCCGAATTTAGAATCGACAAGAGCTGCATTTATTTCATTAGCTCCCATTCGTGTAAATGCTTGAAAAGAAATTTAGGAGTCAAATGGTGATCTGAGACCAGACAAATGGTTTCGCAGAAGGATTTTTGTTAGTCATTCGAGATGACCGACAAATTTTATAGGTACGATTTAACTGGATCGCATCAGTGGCTGCAAAAAATCATAATGATTACGTCATTCCTATGGATTGGGGTCAGGTTTCTTATAAACG